GTTCAGTTTGAAGCAGTGCCTCTGCGTTTGCTTCAGATCAGACCCTGCAGGGCCTCGTCGTAATCCTCTCTCCTCACAGATCAAGGCGGGGATTATTCTTTCCGACTGTTGTCTTGGCACTCGAGGACCGAGCTGCTATTGTTGTTTCCCATCCCTCCCTTGGTCACACACGAGCGAAAAGCTCCTGAACCTGCTGTGTGACCTCGTTCCCCTCGTTGCCTGTCATGAGAAACATTTCTCCTGCTTTCAGCCGCTTGTTTGCCGACCCTGACACTCAGACAGCTGTCGGCAGCTGGATCAAATGCTGCACAGAGACGAACGGCTGCGAGCAGAAGACATACTCCAATTAAAGAATGAAATAAAATGGAAGCTGTTTAATTAGATCAGCCAACAAATCAGTCGGCTTGGATTTGATTTGGCTCCGGCTGGTTGTTCCCCAGGAGGGGAAGGAGATAATTGAAGCACCTGTTGTGACCTTCAGGACAGGCTGAACGCTGAGAAACTCGCTCTGATGGACCTTGAAGTGTAAAATCCTCGGATTGCATCTAAAATCAGTTTTCAGCAGAAGTTAAGTTCCTGCAGCTCCGACAGGAAATGGGCTCTGTTTGTAAAGTTTCTGAGCTAGAACTTCCCGTGGAACCTAAAATCGTATAGTTTCACCAGAAACTATACTCTGAAAGAACGTTCCCAAAAGGAATCATCTGATTGAGCAGTACGTACCTCAGTTTTCCAGTAACACCAGAAAAATAAGTTCAAGGAGACAAAAAAAACAACATTTTCTGTAAAAATTCAGTGAACGCTAAGCGATGTATAACAGCTAAAATTAGCCGAAGAAGTTGAAACCTGGCTGTTAAGGTCAAAAGAAGTAGGGCTGTGAAGCTAAAGGCTAAATATACCAAAAGGCAGGCTAATAGCTAAATGTAACAAAGTCCTTTAAATGCTAAAACTTAAAAAAAAAAAAAAAAAAAAGTAGCCAACTAGGCCCAGAAGAAAACACAGAACAGATCTGGATGTTTTTCAAAAATGGAAAATCTTTCAAGGCTCCCTATTGTCATTCGCATCACATGTGGTACATGAGGTGGAACGAAACTGTGTACTCAAGGTTCCAGTTACACCCGAAAATAAATAAATAAATGAAACAGTGTACAAGTATCTAAAATATACGTTAAACAATAATAATGTAATCTTATACGGTGTATTAAACAGCAGCCTGAACATGAGTCTGTGGGGAGCAGATTGATATGAATACATCATCAGCAGTATGGATAATCAGCAAGACAAAGTCGCATATCACCAATTAAAGTGGCATTACAGTGGTTTTCCTGGGATTCATGCGTCTAACAGCTTCAGGGTAGAAGCTGTTCCTCAGTCTAGTGGTTCTACACTTAATGCTCCACAACTTCCTGTCTGAGGGGAACGGGGCCAAAAGTCTGTGTGCTGGGTGAGTGGGGTCCTTCATGATGCAGATGGCTCTCTTCCTGCATCTGGAGGTGTAGATGTCTGTGATGGTGGGGAGGCTAACTCCAACAAACTTCTGTGCAGCCTTCACCACTCTCTGCAAAGCTTTTCTGTCTGCAGCTGTGCAGCCACCGTGCCAGTACATTTTGAAAATGAAGTTAAATTTTTTAGAAAAGCACAAAAGTTACCCCCAAAAAGATAAATAAAAATAAAGTCATAGCAGCTATCTCCTGAATGAGCTGAATGTTTTTGAAAAACCAACAGCTAAAGTGGCACAAATAATGCCGAAGTGGTTTGATTGTTCAAACACGTGACGAACCAACAGGTTGAATAATGCCGAGTCAGCAGTCACACTTTTACTCTTTACGTCAGCTTTTGTAGGTTTTATATCGCTAATTGAATATGTTGCCTTCTTACCAAGAGGCTGCAGAGATTTTCTTAATGCCGACAGACATTGTTAGATCCTCTCACACGTGTGATTCTTATAAAACGATCCCGAACAGAACTTAGCATTCTCTTTCGTTACGAAGAAAAACACTGTTTTTAGAACCGCAACTGCTGCAAACGGTCCAATCAGGCTGAACTAATTATAGTTGATCTTTTTAACAAAACATCACATTGTTGTGTGTCTGAATGACATCGCATGTCATAATCTCCATATTTGATCATCTAACTGTGTGTTCTTGCCCATCCATCAGTGCTTGTATAAATGCTCGGTGTTTTGCAACAGAACGGTTCTGAGCAGATTAAAGACAGGAGCTTCTAATCTCAGCTTTCATGTAACTCAGCTCAAACACTTTAAGCCTTTCCAACAGGTTCAGCTGTGTCTCAGCAGAAACCACAGGTCGATTCTTGGTTTCACGTTGAATTTTATCGGGCTGGGCTATTTCCTGGAGCACTACGGCATCAAACTGGGCCTCACGTGGATTAGCGTACACGGAGGTCGCCGAGCTAAGTTGATTAAGCAGCACTGTTAAACAAATAAAACAAAGAAAGAAGTAAAATATTCATGGAAACTCCATTGTTCTGTTTGTAAGGTATTTTCAGAATCCTTAAAGTTTCTGTTAAACTCCTGCCTGAAACAAGCCGATTAATTCAGTTTAGTTTATTATTACAGCACCAGCTCGCAACGAATCTCAGGTCAAAAAACTGAAGAAAAAAAAATAGACCAAATCATAAATCCAATTCAGTCCAGATTCAAATCCAGATCCAGGCATAAAACAATCCAGTCAGGTTCAGAAGGTTTTTAAGAGGATCAACAAAGCTGAACCATTTTGTGCTGTAGTTAGAAAAACAGGCCTCTCTGTGGGGACCAGTGGTGATTGTAGCCTCTTTTGGGGGGCTGCTCAAGCACCCCTAAATTTTAACTCGGCACCCCTGAAAAATAAAGAAACCATTAGGATTTTGTAAGTTAACTCAGTTCTCAAATCTTAGCTTCACCAAAAATATTTAACAGATTTGAAATAAATATGGAATAAACGATGACAGTCGTAAACAGGCCAGTAAAATCTATGTCAGTTCCTCTATGCCACCTGCCAGTTAGCCCAGTAGGGTTGTCAGTAGGGATGCACAATATTGGATTTTTGACTGATATCCAGTATGTTAAAACTTATTTGGCTGATACCAATACCGATATTTTTTTCCTTGACCTACTTTTCATTCAACGCTTATTTACACAGGTTAATCCCATTGAGCCACTGGGACTCATTTACAAGAGAGACCAGATACTTACAGAGACTACATAGCTTTCTCTGCTGTGGAATTAAAATACTACATTATTCTGTGGTCTTTGTCAGTTTGACCTGCTACCAAATGCAGATGCTAACAAGGGGGCTGAAATTGATGATAAAACTCACTCAAGCGCTCTCGGCTATTAGCTTCTCAATGACGATGGAAATGACGGCTTGCAACTCGGGTAAGGCTACGTCGGAAAAATATCGCGGACTGGGGCTCAACGTAGTCCAAAAATCTTTGGAATCCGACATCCAAGAAAATGGTTGGTTATCCAGATCAATACGCTCCATCAGTTTCTGAGAGATGTCTTTTGCCCTCGGGTGGTCGCGGCTGTATTTCCGTGCTTTGTCCGAAGCTTGTGGAATGGATCGCTGGTGAGGTTTTGTTTCTCCGCGGTTGACCGCTCTCTCGCTTTCCTCTTTGTGGCCACCATGAACTCATCGTAATGGTCGGAATGCTGGTTCTTGGGATGGTTAATTAGGTTCCAAGTGTTGTAGGACTTAGTTTTCGCTTCTCCTCGGAGCATCACTGACATTGAGCAGTCATTACAAATAGCGGTTCTGCTCTCAGTTTCTGACACTTTAAAAAACTTCCACACCACCGACATTTTCACTTCTTCTTCTCCCGCCATGATCAGATCAGGTAGGTGCGCGTGACGTCATCACGTTGTGCTGGCGCTTCAGGCATCCTTGTCACTGGGTTGTCATACAAAAACAGCTCCTTTTATATTGGAGAGTTATTTTGCTGGAATGTCCGATGTCCGATATTTAGCGTTAACACTAACATCAGCCGATACGATACCATGCTGATAATATGCTTCTCTAGTTGTCAGCAATTGAGCAATCAGCGATCACAATTTGTCCCGAACTAAAACGCCCCTTAGCTGCAGTAGCTGCATGTTGTCAGAAGGATTTCATGAAAAATCATCAGAAAAAAATGGTTAAACGTTGTCAGTGGAGAACATGTAATTCAGACAGCGTTACCCTGAGCGTTTACATGGTGGAATACAGTTTATTCAATTGCTAAAACCTAAACTGTGTCTGGAAAAATGTAAAACACGATAAAGCCCTGTGGCCGACTTCATGAGCAGCTGAATACAACATTGATAAACAGAAAGTACCACATGTTCATCTGTACCAAGGTAACTGCAGGTAAATCCTCAATTTTCTGTCATAAGTACATGATATGCTTAATGCTTAGTTGTACATTGTTCTGTGTGATTTATATGTAGATATATGTTGCAACTTCTACTTGCATAAGTTTAGTCTTTGTTTGCTATGATCCTTTAAACATCCTTTTTGTGACTGAGCTCTACGTTTACGGTCATACCACCCTGAACTCGCCCAATCTCGTCTGATATCGGAAGCAAAGCAGAGTCGGGCCTGGTTAGTACTTGGATGGGAGACCGCTGGGGAATACCAGATTCTGTAAGCTTTTACGTTTCTCACATAACATCATGGGGTGCATTGTTCAAGCCAAGAGCCATTGCTAGTAGTGGGGGCTGAGCACCCCTAAAGGTCAGACCCTAGAATCACCCCTGGTGGGACTGTAGCTGATGTGAGTGCCAGAACAAAGAGGCTGTAGGAATTCACCCCTTGGGATGTGGATCGTGACTCTGGGGGATTGGAGCTGCATCACAGCTGCTCTATTTTTGGATTCAAACAGCTGAAGGGGATCCTCACGTCTCTGGGGTCTCCTTTTCTGTGGAAGATGTGGCGGTGAGGGTTTCCACAGTCAGAAGCGCCGCGGGGGTATCAGGTGGATGTTGGAGGGCACTCTTAGCTCACGTTTGTTGTTTTTGTTGACAGGTTGGCAGATGGTGGCAGGATGTTGTGGTTGCTGTTCTGCCTGCTACCTCTGGGGGGCGGCAGCAGCATCAGCGCCCCGGAGGTCAATCATAAAGGAAGACACGACCGCGGTGAGTTTTTATTATGGAGGAGCTGATTGAACTTGTTAAGTAACATAACTTTAATTATTATTATTTTATTGTGACTTCGCAGCATGTTTTTCTTGTTATCTTAATTTTCCAAACATTTTTTTTTATTTTTTTACAATGCAACTACTTTTGCATTCTTTGCTCTATTTTAGTTGTATGTACAGTAGTCTCTCAATTGTCATGGGGGTTACGTTCCGCATACCCCCACGATAGGTAAAAAAAATACGAAATAGGAATGCTATAGAGAGAGAGAGAGAATTTGTGTTGCAAAACTTTCCCTCCATTTCAGCAAAAAGCAGTGGCCAGAAGTACTGTTGACTTCTGGGTAGTGTAGTTCTTTTGACTTGCACTACAGTATTGAAAGAAAACTGCAAAATGGTGGCGCCTGTCTGAAGTTTTTTATCACTAACTTTTTATCCCGTACCGTTCCATAATGGGAGCAATATTAAAGTTGACAATCGTTGAAAAACCGCAAAAGAGTGAGTCCACGAATGTCGAACCGCAAAGTAGCTAGGGGCTACTGTAAAATAAATTATTCTGTTCACTTAATGGTTCTATGACTTTTGGTTTATATCACCTTTCTAATTTTTAAATTATTTAACTTTGGTGACAAATATTTCCCTCATAGAAAGAGATCGCTTCAACTCCTTGAGAAACATTGCAGCGGCTCCTCTAGGTTTTCTTAAATGGTGCAACCATGTGGGGGCCACAGTGAATGTTTTGTTTTTTTCTTTTTTTCTGAACATTGCATGTAACATGGCTGGTTAAACAAAGTCCCGTATCCCCCTCCCTGTTTCATTGGTCCACGGTGACTTGTTCTGTAATTTCATTGGTCAGATTAAAAAAAACAACAACTTTATTTGTACTGGCAGTCTCATTGAGACACAAGGACCCAGCCCCCAAGAGAGACGTGTGAGCAATTATTGAGCAGCTATGTGAGCGCTCGGGTGTGATGAGGCTAAATGTTTTGGAGGCATGAAGCTCGTTAGCCCATCAAAAAAAATCCATAAATTAGCTGCAGCATTGAGCCACTAGGTTCAAGACCAGTGAAAAAAGTAGCGGCTGATAGTCCAGAAATTACGGTAGACGGACAAAGCCGAATTTATTTATAAACAGCTGCAATTAGCAAAAAAAAAAAAAAAGTCTTAAAAGATAGCTGAAAGGTTAGAACATGTTTAAATTAGCATAGGAAAGTAGAAAGAACATGTTTGCCCAATTAGGCTTAAAGAAGAAGAAATGAGCAATAAACAGCTGAAAAGTAGCTAAAAATCAGAAAGAAGCTGAAATTGCCAGAAAGAAGTGGAGAGAGCACATTTTCCCTGAATTAGGCTGAAAAAAAGTTAAAATTAGTGCAAAAAATGTGGAATTATCTGAAAATGATCAAATTAGCATAAAATAGTAGCTGAAATAGCAGGAAAAGCTGAAACTTGCAGAAATAAACTGCAAGGAGCATAACAAGCTGAAATTCTAATCAGGTCTTTCTTGTAAATGAGTCCTCGAGGCTCAGTGGGATTAAGAATGAAATATTAGCAAAAAGAAGTTATAGAAAAAGCACAAAAATGTTGTAGTTAGCAAGAAGAATCTGAAAAGAGCGCAAAACAGCTGAAATGAGCAGAAAGCAGCTGAAAAAAATGTTTAAATTTGCACAAAAAGGCTGAAGCAGAACAAAATGTGAAAGGAGCAGTAAAAGGTTGTAAACAGATCTAAACATTTGTAAAAGTAGCAGAAATTACCATGAAAAACTTTTTTTCTGAAAAACAGTTGACATTAGCTAAAAAATAGCTTAAAATTACCCAATTAGTCTGAAAGAAGCAGAAATATCACAAAAAAGTTGAAATTATCTGAAAAGGCTGAAATTAACACACACACACAATAAATACTGCTTAAAAAGGCATAAAAAGCTTAAGTTACCAGAAAAAAATGGAGAGACCACATTTTTGCTGAATTAGACTGAAAACAGTTGAAATGAGTGCAAAAAATGTAGAATTAGCCAAAAAAGCTACAATTAGCATAAAACAGCTTAATATTAGCTGAAATAGCAAAAAGAGCTGAAACTTGCAGAAATAAGCTGAAAGGAACATAACAAGCTGAAATTAACAGGAAGAAGTTAGAAGAAGCAGAAAAAGTTTGTAGTCAGCAGAAAGAATCAGAAAGGAGCACAAACAGCTGAAATCAGCTGAAAGTAACAGAAAAAAGTTTACATTTGCACAAGGAAGCTGAAAGAAGCTGAAGCAGAACAAAATATGAAAAGAGCAGTAAAAGGCTGTAAACACATCTAAAGATCTTGAAGGATGTAAAATGAGCTCAATTCATTTTCTTTGAGACAAAAGTGTCAGAAAAGGCTAAATATTTCAAAAAGCTAAAGTTGCACCAATACCAAAAGTCACAGCAGGATTGTCCTGAAAGAGCTGGATGTTTTGATTTATGATTTGATGAAATCGCACAAAAACTGTGGAACGAGAAAGATGCTGACAAACGTACGGAAGAAAAATGGATCAAATAGTGTGAATGCTTCATGAACATTCACACAATAAACGTTTAATTCAGAAACTCCGTCTGCGGAGAATCTTTATGAGTTTGTTTTCATCAGTTTCAGAACAGCAGAACGAAAACCTGGAGGCTAAAACTTCACATCTTCAGTTATTTCCATCTTTGGATCAGAATAAAAGCACTCTTTTGCTCCCGGTCACTTCCTGTCTGCCATTAGCCGGACCAGCAGGTGGTTTTCCTCCACTCACGTTGTAAATGTGTCCAAACTGAACCATGATTTCAGCGGGGAGTGCGGAGGAGGCCGTGCCCTTCGTCGCAGTGACGCCGGAAACAAAAGAGCTGCAATCAGACTCAGGATTGTTCCCGTCCACTTGAGTGTTTTCAAATCGTTCAGGAAGGGTTGTTTTCACAGCGCGCTCAGACACACCTGTCACTTTGCAACTTCCACTTCCTGCTGAGCTTTGCACTTGTTTCCCTGTTCATTCGTGGGTTTTATTTGTGGCGTTTCAGCCCGAACAAACTGCAAATTAGCTTCTTTCAGTATCAGACGAGACGTGGCGCTTTAGGTTAAAGAAAGGGGAATGCACTATAAAAAACAAAACTAGTTGCTAAAATATATTCTCCATGACAACAATGGTTAAAGTTGGACTCCATCCTATAAAAACTCTCCATCAATGAGTGGGCTCTTGGGTTTTCCTTAATTGGAAGGACCACTGTAGTAAAAAATACTATGGGGAGTGGTGGCGCAGAGGTTAGAGCAGGTCGGCCTGTGATCGGAAGGTCGCTGGTTCAACTCCCCGGACCAACAGCATCCAATTGTGGGTGGGAAAGGTGAAACACACACACCTGCCTCCACCCTCATTTACCCCACTCTGGGCCCTTGAGCAAGGCCTTAAACCCCCACCATCTGCTCCCCTGGGCACCCTAGATAGGCGCAGAGGGCTGTGGTAGCTCAGTGGTCTGTGGTTGTGTCAGGAAGGGCATCCGGCGTAAAAGCATTGCAGGGTCTTCGTGTGCGTTAGTTTACTGTGGCAACCCCTGAGGAAGGGAGCAGCTGAAAATAAAAGAAAAGAAAATAACTGTAGTAAAAATACCCAACAAAGTTAAGTCAGGTTCTCTGGACCTTTATTTGTTGAAACGTTTCGGCTTTCATCCAAAGGACTTCATCAGTCCAAGGAGCCACAACAAACTCAGTCCTGCAAGTAGCACACTCATAGTGGGCCAACAAGTTTGATGGTGATAAGATGGTTTCTGGAGTCCGATCTGGAACCCGTCCAGAGGACCTGAGTTTGTTGGATTATTTTTTACCTGGATTATTACGCATGAACTGCCTCATGGCTGCCTCAGAGGAGTCGACGGGGGAGAGTGCGGACTCCAGAAACCATCTTATCACCATCAAACTGGTTGGCCCACTATGAGTGTGCTACTTGCGGGACTGAGTTTGTTGTGGCTCCTCGGACTGATGAAGTCCTTTGGATGAAGGACAAAATGTTTCAACAAAAAAAAAAAAAGAAAGAAACCGTCCAGAGGACCTGACGTACCTTTGTTGGATTTTATTTATTTTTTTTACATGGATTATTGAGCATGAACTTTGATGTAGTAAAAATACTCAAACGGTCACTGGTGATGAAAGGCGAGGTTCATGACTGCCATCTTGCTAGGTGCTACAAACTGTAATGTGTACAAGTGGAAACCACACATTTTTAAAGCCTTGTGCTGCTGTGTGCAATGTCATCTGTCCCAAATCACTTTGAAACAGCCTCATTTTACTTAAATAAATATATATATCATACGTAATGTAAAAACAGGAGACAATGTTATTCTGTAAGTGGCCTCTCAACAAGTCTTGTTAAATGTTAGCGAGGGAAAAATGCTGACCCGTCACACTACCACGACTCTTGGATCAAGGATTAGACGCATGTAATGAACAAATTTAACTTTTCCAATCAGTCACTTAACACCAGTTACTTTGTATTCAACTCAGTCCTCACTTAAATTGTCAATAACTTTCTATTACTTTAAAAAACTTTGAATACAGGCTGGAAGATGATTGTTTATTCTAACCCAGTAGTATTTACAGTGCTCTTAATTAATAATATCACTAAATTTTAAAGTGCAAGGCCTTATGCATAATGGATTTGTAGAATAAAATAAATAAACAAACAATGCGATTTATTAATTTAATTAAGTTTAATTATTGGGTCTATGTTAGTTTTGTATACATTACCCCCAAACATCTACACAATAGGACATATGTGGCACTATTATTGAAAAACTAAATATATGCAAACAACTTCTACTTAACAATTTTCTAATTTTATAAACAATGGCAACCAATTCAGATCATTTTTGTCTGATATATTCTACATGTGGCTTACATCATCAATTATTCTCAAAAATATTGTTTCAAATACTCTTTTAATTTCAACTCTGTGTAATTTTAATTTCAAGTTATAATTCTAGCTCCACTAAACACTATGAATTTTGTTTGA